GAGGCTCAGCAGTCGGCGTGAATGTGGGCGGCTGTGTCCCTAAGAAGGCCTGATAGGAACAGGGCCTCTCGGGACCGCGAGCACCACCCCCGTTCCCGCCATTACCACCGGGGCCTCCACGGGCGAAGCCACCAATAGCCTATGCCAGCATCTCCAAGGCACGGGTTGACTCGCGACGAGCATCCAACATCTTAGCCATCATCTCGGCATGGGTCATTGAAGGCGGTGGTGGCGGCGGAGGAGGAGGACCAAGGAATGGGGCCTCGTGGCTCTCCCGGTTGGCATTGCCATGATCATCGCCACGACCATTTTTGCCCTGGTCTTCACCAAGACCACGGCCTATCCCAGCACTTGTGCTCCCACGACCAGACCTTAGGTTCATCTATAAACAGATAAGAACCCACCATTAGGGACAAGGCCTCCATATTTAGAAACAAAAGGCTAAAGAGATGATAAGGCCCAATAAATGGTTACAAGCAAGAACTTTTCCTTAAGAGTTAAAGCATTTCTCTTTATTTATTAACCTATCAATTTACTATCCAAAAATTATACGCGTGGAGGAGTTTAGTTTAAGCAAGATTCCCTTTTCATGATGCATGGATCGACCTATTCGTTCGCTCAAGCTAGAATATAGCGGCATTCGTATAAAATTTTTGGCACAGCGCACACTCACTTCCCGTACGCTAAACGATTCTTACGCAGCGTAAGTTAGTGTACCTATAAAAGATTGATTAGATAAAACCAGTGCCACCATCCTAGATAGACCATATTACTAGGGCTTATACTTATTTACGTAATTTATCGCATCATACTTTTCGCAAAGCTTTTGTTGGTCAAATTTTAGGTTTGAAAAGTTTTTAAACTCGTAGACTCATAACCTAGCTCTAATACCACCTGTGGTAGAACTACCCAAAATAACACGCTTCCGGAGGCGCTCGTCTTCCACTAGACACTAAGCACCTCGAAAAGGAGTTACATCGGATAGTTTCGTTGAGCACACCCCAAGAGAGAACTTGAAACAATTCACATTTTACATCTAGAATCTAATAATGAGTACGAGCTTACAATACTTAGTTCATTTCATACAACAAGAGTTCTTAGAAATTATTTATTATAATACCAGAATTTAGAGTGCGATAATTAAACAACAGAATGAAAATAAGCATCTAGCGAAAACGATACAAGGATCCGTCTATGCCCATCAGAAGAATCCTCCACACAAGAGCTACTCCTCAAGCTACACCTGCAATAGAGGTAAAATAAACCCTGAGTACACAATGTACTAACAAGACTTACCTGACTAGTGGGAATAGATTCCCGACTCCAAGGAATGTGATAGACAATATGGCTTTGTTGTTTTCTTTTTGTTTGCAAAAAGCATTACTAGGAGAAAGTCCTTAGGATCAAGTTTTATTAGTAGTCATGATTACTTCATTAGCTAATAATTCTAAGTAAGCACATGTTCTACTTTCCAGCAAGGGTTGAGCAATCAGAACCATTTCTTCATCTTTCATCTTTCAATTCTTACTATGGTGCTAGATCATAGTCAAGTCATACCATCTCATGGAAACGGTGATTCGTGAACCAATGTATCACAGCTGGGTACCCCGAAACGCACGTCTCGTTTGTACCCTAGGCACAAATAAGACCAACCCATTCTACTCTTGTCATGAGGTCTAGGTCCTCGTCCAAACTTGGACTCCAAGCCCCCACACTTGAGATCCGGTCTCAGTATGATGCTTATGCCTCCACCTTTTCCTGCCTACAATTAGTCGGTCTGGAAAGAGCTGAAACCCACGACAAGAGCGTAACAAGCCTTTCCGCTCCTATAGGCAAGTATGTGCTCAGGATAATAAGTCTCTGACCTGACTACCATCAACAACAACGGACGATCCTTAATCGACACGAATAGGGAAAACAGTATAACCAAACTAATCTCCGTTGGCCGCGGGACACAACCTGTTACACCCACCAATACCCATACCATATCCTTGCCCTATCCCCATTTTTCATCATTTTATCATGAGAGTAGTTATAATAATCACCTATTGTGAGTAATGACAGGTTACTCACGCTACCAAAAACCTAAGCATAGCAGCTACTTGAACCTGTACTAGTAGGACTCATAGGATAGTTATATCTATGCATGTGGTTTTCATAAAATTCCTATAACATAAATGCACATCACACACACACATATATATATATTCAATGATTATAAAAAATAAGGGTTATGCACCGGGACTTGCCTTGGGCAGGCGCGGTGTCAGCAGAGTTAGTTAGTGGCGGCTCTGGGACCTCCTCTTGCACGAGAATCTCCTCCTCGTACTCCTCGACGATCTTCTCGAACTCACAATCACCGGTGGTCACGATCTCTGCCAAGTCGTTCTCTACATGCATACGATGATGATGCAACACTTAGCATTTAAGCAATAGCAACTCCTAAACTAAGAATACACATACTAAGCTAGCTCTAATGACTAAGGTACTAAGCTAACTATCATCTTTATCAAGCAAAGTGTTGGGTTCAACTAACAAACACCTAGCTTTACAAATGAAAGATATATCTTTATTTCTACTAATGATTTAATGTATATTTGAAACAAAGAGCATTTAACTATCCTAATGTTTAGTTTATTCTAAAGCTACAAAAACTACAGTGAGCATATAATAATACAATGAAGCTATCATAAAAATTTCAGGGCTAAAGCTATCACCAATTTACCACAAAAATTCCTACAACATTTAACCTAATAATATTAAGCACTCTCAAATGATTTAATAGCTCCTAGTATCAACATGTATATATATGAACTAAATACACTAATAGATAAAGCATAATTTTAGGAACCTAACAAAATTTGTTTCACAATTTTTTGACATCTACACGATTTTATATGATTTACTAAAGATCAGCTCAAAAATTAAATTAGAAAACTATTTCTAATTCCTTATGAAAAAGAAAAACAAATTCTCCCGCGTGGCCCACACGTGCGGCCCACGTGACGCAGCGCGCGCGCGAGCACACGGCGGCCTGTGGTGCAGCCCACGCGGAGACGGCCCGCGCCAGGGAATCCTGCACGCGTCGATAATTTTTCCAAAAAAGACCTCGAACTTCTCCTGAATTACAACTAAGTCATAACGCTATTTCCCCCTCTCTCAAACCTTCTCATTTAACCCCCTGGCCTTTCTGGAATTCCCCCACGCACACCCCCAGTGACCCAGCGCACGGCGGCACGGCGGTCGGTGGCATAGCGCGGCTACGCCGGCCACCAAGGACCTGCGCTGGCCCGTCGGTCGAATCGACCTTTAACCATGGTCCAACCGCCTACACCAAGCAGCAACACGGGGCGGCGGGACGCGCTGGAGCGAGCTGCAGCGATGCGCGGCCGTCCGCGGTGGCGGCGTAGCTGCCCCGGTGATCCAGAGCACCTAAGAACCTAACTGGCTAGCGAGAGAGCATCAGTAGACTACCGTGGACCTAACCTAGGTGATGGTTCGGGTGGAGGATGGCGGAGGAGAGCTAGCCACGTGCGACCGAGTCACGCGACGGCGCACCGCGGTGGCACGGTCGCGCCAGCGACGACGGGGAGGCGGTAGCGGTTCCGCTGACGTGTGTAAGGTAGAGAGGGAGGCGAGGCAAAGCTGGTGGTGCAAGTGAATTGGCTCGGGAGGGACGGTAGCAGGGCTGCTCTCGTCCATGGCCGGACGCGGCCTTATCGGCACGGCGGCGGAAGAAACTCCAAATTAGAGCTTGGCCTTGCACAGTTCAAGACTGGGTAGGGTCGGGCAGTGCGAGAACGTGATAGTGAAGCCATGGATGCGCTGAATTGAATGGAGGTGATCGTTCGTTGGGTAAATTGGATGGCGCGGCTCATGCCGGCAGCAGAGGGAGAAAGAGAGAAACAAAGAGACGGGGCATGGCAGGTGGGCTCGGCTCGTCCTCGCCTTGGTGGGATGCGGTCGGCGTGAACGTGGAGGCCCACGCGCAGGCGCTAGCAAACAGGCGAGCGCGTTCACGACTGGCGTGGCCTGCGCGCCGCAGTGCCATCAATGATAAGGCGACGCCGAGGCCAGCCACGTGCACGTGGTAGAGGCGGCATTGCACTGGGCTAGCAGCGGCGCAGAGATGCAGAGGGAGACACGGACATGATGGCGAGGCGACGACACCGGCACCGGCTGCGTCGCCACGCGGGGCGGTAGTGCGGCAGCGCGGCGGGGCCGACGGCAGCACCGCCCGGTTGTGCAAGCAGCAGCGGCGGCTCCGCGCGCCAGGAGCCAGTGGCTGCTAGGCCACATCCCAGGCCAGAGCAGCCGTGGCCAGCCACGCGCGGCAGCGCGCGTGCGAGCGGGACAGTCAGCGTGGCGACGCCGAACGCCCGAGCGTGATAATCGCGCCCACACAGCCAACCAGCCCGAGACCGAGTCGTGCACGAATTTTAAAGCGCCCAAAACAACTAAACGGTTGTTGTAAGAGCCAAACCATCTTCACCATGCTTAAAATGACATATGAGACTACAAAATCGAGCTATAACACTACACCATTCCTTAACTCAATCTCTCAAAGTAATTTGCTAAACATAATAATGTCTAGCTGTTGACAAACTTGGAAATTTTCTAAGTTTTTGAGCTGAACTTGATTTTAATTTGCAATTTCTAGGCTAATAGAAATATTAGCTAGTAATATCATTTTTCTACAGCAAATATTTCACTGTCATCTACAAAGTTTGTACTTCAAACTTTATTTAAGTATCACACACATGTTCTATAGTATTTTTGCTTAATAAAAGTTGGTTTTCAACCCTACTTGATATACATGGGCTATTGAATCAACTTTCATTTAGCATTTTTATTGATCATTTTAAATTACAAAAAATTTATCTACATATTCTATCATATGTATTAACACATAAACATGATACTCATGACATGTTTTAGTAAATGATTTAGGGTGTAACACCGTGTACAACAGCGGCAAGGCCTTTCTATGGGTTGTCAAGGCCTCGGAGGGCTCAAAGTTACCTGAAAACTTCACCGAGAAGACCAAGGAGAGGGGCCTCATCGTAACATGGAGCCCTCAGCTTGAGGTGCTGGCGCACCCGGCTGTCGGGTGCTTCGTGACACTCTGCGGGTGGAACTCGACGATGGAGGGGTTGGGCGCTGGTGTGCCGATGGTTGCGATGCCGCAATGGTCGGACCAGACCATGAACGCCAAGTACATCGAGGACGTGTGGCGAGTAGGCGTGCGAGTGTGCCCGGACGACAAAGGTGTGGTGAGGAAGGAGGAACTTGAGATGCGTGTGAGGGAGGTGATGGAAGGAGAGAGGAGCTTGGAGTACATCCGAAACGCTGCCGGTTGGAAGGAGAAGGCCAAGAGAGCCATGAGCGAAGGTGGCAGCTCCGACAAAAACATCCTAGAGTTTCTTGGCAAACTTGGACTGAAAAGCTAAATGACCGAGGCAGGTGTCTTTGGACTTCATTGTTTCAGTGTCATTCGTCTTCTGTTTTTGTTCTCTTTCCTGGGCCCTCGTTGTTGTGGAATAATGTGCGGCATTTGGTGCAATAATGCAGGTAAAGTCAGTTGTGACAGTGAGGTTTAATTTACTGAAACTGATAAGCAAAGGTCCGCGAAAATGATGCCTATGCACTTGGCAATGATAGGTTTAATTTACTGAAACTGAAAAGAATGCAGGCGTCGAGAGCAAGATAGACAACCTCTTGCCATCATCAACATCCACGGATTGCCGAGACCCAGACAGTCACATATTTTCATTCTATTTCCTTATCAGGGTCATCCTTCACCGGTGCTTCCACGGTCTCAATATTTTAGTCATGCTTTGATGATTTGGTGGAACCAGAAGAGTGCCATGTTGCATTTCCACTGTTTCGGTAATTCTGAATCATGTCATGTTATGAACTATTTTAGATTCCATACATTGCTGTTTTCATTTGTGATCCATGCTCGCCAATGATATCAGCAATTCAACATACTGCCCTGTAAACTGAATGCCAATGTAGTTTGCAATTTGCAAGAAAGATGGTAGTCTAGAAATTGAATGTCAATGGCATTATGTCAACTGAATGGCAATGAGAGTCTACAAAATGTAAATTTCATTAGCACTGTTTTAGTGATTTACAATCAGACGTTTCATGCAAAGAAAAAAGTCAAAAGCTCGATCCTATTTTGTTCAAATGAAACAATCATCAGTAACATTGAGAATTTAAGATCCTGTTTATGAAGACCGACCTATGTATAGCGTCTACCAAAACTCCTGGTTTTTCTTGTTTTCTATCAAGTGATGAAGTTTGATCACCCTCCCAACTAGCACTTTTCCTCTTTTCCACTGAAACTTGAGTACACCAAAACCAAGAGAACTGAAGTTTGCATCTAGCTTAACATGGTCTCTTGACATCCTGCAAATTCATAGAACAATTTTATTTCTCATCAACCAGACACTCCAAACATTCTGTCATGAAATCACAATATTTTTTAGTAGCAGAAACTCTGAATTCTTCTTCACTAAGTTGTTTGCTTGCTACTGGCATAGTGCCATATATCAAATTTTAATCTTTGCATAGCATTTTTAATCTTTTTTGCCGTGTATATTGTCAACTGTCTTTGCTTTATGGGAATTCAAAGAAATAATCTAACCTTAAGCATCAGTATTAAGAAGAGAACAAGAACGCCAACCTTATCTCCATCTCAGCATGAACAGAGGTTCAGAGAGAAATCGAGCATCTGCAGGGACATAACGCTGGACAGGTTCTTCATGGCTGCTCCGCTAAAGTCCATCCGCATCATCGGAGGCGTCCCTTTTTCGTGGTCGGCATTTGCTTGCAGTTGCAGCAGCAGCATCGGGTGGCCAGCTTTCTGTGTTTGTTTGTTCGTAAAACTCTCTTGTACTTTAATATAATGATATACAACGTCCTGCATATTCGAGAGAGAAAAAAAGGAAAAAGTCCCATCCAATTTACCTCCCTCAGCTATTCCATGAACGCTATGTTTAGACTTCTCTACAGCTGTCAGCCACCATGTAGGATGACTGAGGCCATGTCAGCTAAAACTGCTTTCAAAACTGTTTAGGGAGCCAAATCGAACTCACACGACAGTAGAGGTCAGATAGACGTTTTCCTATTTGATCATCTCTTGGGTCGGGTCCGGCCCAGGTCAGGCAAACAAAAACAAAAACATAGGAAGACCCGAGGCCCGACGAAGCACTACAAATCTCGGCCTGAGCCCACCCGTGGCACGACCCGGCGGTCCGGCCGTCCGGCAGTGCACATGGTGCTTACCTTTCTCTTAACTGAAAAAGACTATTTAAAATTATGGATGTATGTAGTTTTAAGATCTGTGAGCGACATGTTTTTAATGACAACAATGATGTGTTATAGATTTTCTTTCTTTGTCACAATCTAGCGCTAACAACAGCCATGCCTTCGCCGACTCCTATCTTCATGCAGGGAGTCATGCCGCCAATGGGGCTGCCGGTTACGACCACAGAACCGGCATGTAGTTGATACTTGGTGCCAAATGTTTGTAATCAGTTAGCCTCTCCACCTCTCTTTAAGTATGTAATCCTTCGACAATGAACTGGATCATCTAAGCCCTGTAGGTGCTTTGCACCCTCCATCCACCGGCTTACTGGAATCAATGGAAAACTATTCAGGTGGAGCTCTCACATCTCCGGTGACGTCTTAAAAAAACAATCTAGCGCTAACTGCCCCACTGCAACTTGACTGGAGCAGTGACTACCGACAGCCAACTCTAAAAATAGAGGCAAACACAAACCCTGCATGCCGCAGTACCCCTCGCGCAGTCTGCACATAGCCAGTGGGCAATGGCGGGCACAGACAGCAGCAGCACCCACGTGCTCCTCCTCTCCTACCCGTCCCAGGGCCACATCAACCCGCTCCTCCAGCTCGGCAAGCGGCTGGCCGCCCATCGCGGCGTGCGGTGCACCCTGGCCGTGACCCGGTTCGTCCTCGGCCAGAGCGGCCAGCCGTCGCCGGGCGCGGTCCACGTCGCCGCATACTCCGACGGCTGCGACAGCGGCGGCTACAGCGAGGCAGGCAACGAGCAGGAGTTCCTGGCTCGGCTGGAGTCCGCCGGGTCGGCGTCGCTGGACGAGCTCCTCCGCGCCGAGTCCGCGCAAGGCCGGCCCGTGCACGCCGTGGTGTACGACTCGTTCCTGCTGTGGGCGCCGCGCGTGGCGCGGCGGCACGGCGCGTCGTGCGCGGCCTTCTTCACGCAGGCGTGCGCGGTGAACGTGGCCTACTCCCACGCGCGGGCCGGCCGGGTGGAGCTGCCGGTGGCGGCGGGCAAGGCGCTGCCGGAGCTGCCCGGGCTGCCGTCGGAGCTGGAACCTGCCGATTTCCCCACATTCCTGACGGAGCCCGACGGCGGCAGCCACGCCTACCTTGACCTGCTGCTGCAGCAGTGCCAGGGGTTTGAGGTGGCAGACCACATCCTCGTCAACTCGTTCTACGAGCTGGAGACCAAGGTAATCACGTACTAAGCTCGTGCAGTACGTGTTAGCTGACATGGCGGCGGCCGCCGGGTATGGTATGCGTGAGAATGAGTTGCTGAAATCTGACAGGAAGCGTAGTACATGGCGTCGCGGTGGGGCGCCAAGACGGTCGGGCCATCGGTGCCGTCGGCGTACCTCGACAACCGCCTCCCGGACGACGTGTCCTACGGATTCCACCTGCTCGCCCCGATGAGGGAGGAAAGCAAGGCCTGGCTCGACGAGCGGCCGGCACGCTCCGTCGTGTACGTCTCCTTCGGCAGCCTCGCCACGCCGAGCTCTGCTCAGATGGTCGAGGTGGCCGAGGGCTTGTGCAGCAGCGGCAAGGACTTCCTGTGGGTTGTCAGGGCCTCAGAGACTCCCAAGATCCCCGGCGGTTTCGCTGACAAGGCCAGGGGGAGGGGGCGAGCCGTGACATGGTGCCCGCAGCTGGAGGTCCTGGCGCACCCCGCCGTGGGGAGCTTCGTGACGCACTGCGGCTGGAACTCGACCATGGAGGCGCTGGGCATCGGTGTGCCGATGATAGCAATGCCGCAGTGGTCAGACCAGCCGACGAACGCCAAATACATTGAAGATGTTTGACGAGTCGGCGTGAAGCTACGACCAGACGACGCTGGATGTCTAGTGAGGAAAGATGAGGTGGAGAGGTGCATTAGGCAAGTGATGGAAGGAGAGACTAGCAAGGAATACAGGAAAATGCTATGGGATGGAGCGAGAAGGCAAAAAAGGCCATGAGTGAAGGTGGTAGCTCGGACAACAACATCCTGGAGTTCCTCAGCAAAATTCGATTGAAATGATTATATGATTATAGGAGAAGACAAACATATGGAGAAATGGAGAAGATCTCGTACCTTAGTTTTGTTTTTTGGGTTTGCGATTTTTTTTCTAGAACATGCTCTACATATCTCTAGATCAATCAAAATTATGCTGGTTCTCTCCGGAAAACATCCCCCCACCGCGCAGGATTCAACGCTCGGTATCCGCAAACTCACCCACGACAGTCCAGGGTCGAACCCTGCTAGCTAAGAAAAAAAAAAAAAAATAAAAAAAAACGAGCAGCGAGGGCGGACGAAGGGTGCAGGGGTAGGGCGTGCCGGCGCACGCCGCAGGCCGCCTGCAGGGTCCGCGGCTCCGCCACTCCGGGCGGCACAGGGCAGGGGTGCAGCCGCGTAGGGCGCTGGCGCCGAGGCGCCGAGCGTGAGGCCACGACGCCGCCACGGGCGGAGCTCCTCCCTCCGCTCGATCGAATCGGCGCTACCGATCGATCGTCCGATCCGCGCCGAATCGTCGCAACTGGGGCGAAACCCTAATCCGATCTCGACCTGTTTCCCAGCGATGGGCGCCGGCCGTGTCTGCCGCGGTGGCCCCTCCTCCGCTTCCCCACCGCCGGTGCCACCGCGGGGCGGCGTTCCTGAGGCTCGCCACGTCCTCCTCCAGCCTCCCGTTCCTCGGCCCCCTCCGAGGCTGGGGTCCACATCGGTCACCAAGACGGTGAACGGCGCCCACCACTTCAAGATCGCGGGCTACTCCCTCTCCAAGGGGATCGGGATTAAGAAGTTCATCGCCTTCGAGTCCTTCAACGCGGGGATGGCGCTAGCTACGTCTCGCTATGTTGGTGAGGCATGGGAAGGTGGGTGAGGAGAAGGTCACCGAGGTCAGGTGGTTCCTCGACGCCAGTGCGGTGCCCTGGCGTGCCTGCTGGACCACCCAAGTCGTCGGCTACTGCTAGGAGGGAGTCCTTTGCGAAGAGGGCGGGGTTCGCCACGAACCCCCATGGGGAGGAAGCTGTTTGAGGTGAGGGAGGTGAAGCTGAGCAACTTGTGTGTTGTGGCGGATGTTGGGACAGCAAAAGAGCTACTTGAGCTTGCTGATCAAGGTATACATGCCATTAGTTCTTGTGTATTTGCGATGCCTTTCTACTATTTGCTAATAGTGTGTTAATTTGTTTGCCCCATTTGTGTTGGTTGGTCCAGAGATTTGAATGTTGAAAACTCAGGTTGATATCTTTTCTGATTTTACACCAGATTTTGGGGCCAAGCTTCGCACAGTATATTCTATTCTGACATCATCTTTCTTATCTTTTGTTTTGTTGTATTACTTATCATCATTCTTTTATTATGTGTCCATAATAGCCCAGTTGGATTTCAAAAATTGTACTTTGTCTATCACAAATCAGATGTCGGTCCTCTTATTATCATGTAGATGCAGTATCCTTTTGTGTAATCAAAATGGGTTGTCCATTACTGAAAGGCAAAATTCCTACACCAGGCCAATCTTCTACTTGGTTCTTTAGCAGCGTTAGCATGGGCTAGATAATTTAGTACTAAATTCCTACATTAGGCTCTTCCAGTTAAATATGATATTATCTTCAGTTATCAGTTATGTTGAATAATTTTTCAGTTCTCCTGTGCCATCCGATGAAAAAAATGTTGAATAATTTTTTCAGTTTCTATTTTGAGCCTATAAAGTATCGGATTTTTTGCATAAGCTTCTATTGGTTTTTGGATTATCTCTTATCTAACTGTTACTGAGTCTTTATTTGTTTCTTGACACGTTTCCTACAGTTTATTGGCTAGAGTATCTCCTGTGACCGATTTGGTTGCCAATTCTCTTAAACGTGTGGTGGTCATCGTGTCATCCTTTCTCTTATCTAACTGTTACTGAGTCTTTATTTGTTTCTTGACACGTTTCCTACAGTTTATTGGCTAGAGTGTTTCGTAATTATAGGATATTAATTTCTTACATTGACATATTCTCCTGGTCGCCTGATCAATTATTGGTCTTTACCATCTTTTGTATGACAGAATTATTCTCTACATTGCTTATATGGCTTGGTGTTAACCCCTTTTTTTGGCATGCGGATGCTGGAGCAATGCCAGTTGCCAAACAAAGTGATTCAGTTATTTTACATCAATTTTGTTTATACAAGCTGTAAACAGTAATCAGCTACTTAGATTAATGTGGCTAATTTTCTATCGGTGCAGATCCGTCATCTACTGTACTCTTTCTCGCTTCTTTCGGTCTACTTGCGCTGGTGGTGCACTTGGGAAAAAATTCTCTGGAATCGTGCGGCACCTTAGTGCCCGTGCAGCACCGACGACATGCTTGCCACGGACGCGTCTGCACCCACTAGTCGAAGGAACAGAGACGGGTAGCACCGACGGCATGCTTGCCATGTACGCGTCTGCACCCACCAGCCGAAGGAACAGAGACGGTTAGTCATTGTGGCTCCACGTGGAAGGAACGCGCAGCTAGCTGGTTCAGATTCATATGCATTGAGATTCACGCACAAGGATACATGGACGGCCTACGCTCAGTGCTTCACGGGCTCCGCGGTACAGCACGACTGCAGAGAAATTTTTTTCCACGCACTTGGAGCTTAGGGAGCCGTGGATGATGAAAAGCTCACGCTTGGTTTTCTTGATTCTTGCCGTAATGATCAAGTGATTATCCTAGGACCAGATTAGCTCCCATGATTACATCTTTGGCTTGATTGATTCATATGACACATCAGAATCTTGAGACAAGTGGGATGAAGGTGATGCAACGGGTGCAGGAGCTTGTTCAGGCCGACACTAGCGGGTACAGCTAAGCTCTTTAATCACCAACGGATGCTTTCATGCTCAGGTTCATTGCTCATCGAGGCTTACCATTTGCTGAATTTTTTTCATGTTTTGGTGTACTTGCAGGTGTTCGAGTTGAAGGACTCGGTGTTGACATGGGAAGGAGCAGAAGCCACAAGCCATTGATTAAAACCAAAAATTAGGTGTGTAAATATTTCACATGAGATTTCATGGTACACCGTATAGTACCTCTGACACCCTTTAGTGAAGAAGGGTTTTGTCGTCATGAGGCCTAAAATTGATAACCTGACAGATGAACAAATTGGCATGAATTATCCTTGTTGTATTCAACAATATAAGTTTGATCCTTTTTATTAAATAATACAATAACCCTGTAAATTTGTATCGCTTCTTTTTCTGTGAATCTTCAATCTATTTTATTTTATACCGCATTTGGTTGTTAATTTGTGTCACCTAAAATGCCACCGTAAGCGTTAGCACGGGCAATATACTAGTTTCATTAAGTGGAGTTTTAGTTTGGGAATTCATAGCCGTGATGACTAATATGGCCATTTACGCAAAATACATTCCATTCATTCTAAATTATAAGATTTTTTTTTACTTTTCTAGATGTATTACTTTTACTATATATATTCAGACTAATATCGATCTATGTCTTTATGGTCGATCTGCAAGCTATGCACAACAGAAACTGAATCGCTGAAGCACCTAGTGGACGACTGCTCCTTTTCACGTATGGTCTGGTCATTACTAGCCCAGAAGTTTATATAATCAATCAAAGCACATCGACCACGAAGATCAAGACATGCATGTTGGCCTGCCATGATTGGACCAGACCCAACAACGGCAGCCACAAACCGCGCTCAGGTGGTCATCTACGTTGTCTGGAACTTATGGAAAGAGCGCTGCAAGAGAGTCTTCGACAGTAAAACACAAACACAATACAGGTAGCAAGCTTAGTTCAACAAGACATTCTGCTTATGCTATGGTGCATGAGTCAAAACATGTAAGTATAGCTAGTATGTAACATAGACACAGTTTCAGACTGCAAGTGCAGAGTTTTTTTTTTCTCTTTTAGCTTCTATACCTATTCCTTTTTTGTTGGCTGGGAATGTTTTAACCAGCATGTAAACCTGTTGTAGCTATTTCTTTTCACCTCATCTACTTAATGCAAAGGCAGAGCACCTATTGTTTCATGGTAAAAAAAAGTGCATAACAAAAACTATGTATCAACAAAATGTCTTATTATAATTTAAAATAGAGAAAGCATTTAGGTATCCTTAGTCTGTCATTCACTCATTCTCATATCAATTGTTGTACCTCTAAAACTCGTTGATCAGAGCCTGGGTTACTAGCCACCTTCAAGTAAGCATCTGTTTTTTCTAGTCTATCTTCTTTTTTCAACTTTACTATTGACATCGACTTCCTTTTCTACTCTCTCTGTTTTTATTTACATGTCACATTAGTTATCTTAAGTCAAACATTTTTATTTTTGACCATCAATCTCAAAAACTTTGTATAAGTTCATGACATAAGATTTATGTTTTTAGGTTCACTATAAGAAAATATTTTCATAATTTATAATTTATATGTTGTGAAACTATAAGAATTTGTTTTGAAATAGATGGTCAAAGATAGTAATGTTTGACTTAGAGCAAAACTATTGTGACATGTAAATAAAAACGGAGGAATATTCTCAAGCGTAATCTAAGGGACATCGGGCTATTCAAAACACCACTGCCCTGATCTTGTCATCGTGCATGGTGATCCTATGCATAATGTTTTAAAAAAAAGTGATCCATCTTCGTATAAAGTGTTAGTCATGCCACGACTTGCGCATATGCTAACTTAAACTACAGCATGTTACGGCTATCAATCAAACAGGTTATAAGTATGCATCATCATATCTTCATATATTGTCATGGGTTAGTCGTCAGGACTATGGTGTTATGGTTTCATGGGTTTTTCTGTGTATTAATCCGTGCGTCTATAAGATTTTTAGGCATGGTTTTTCTTATAAACTAGGTTAATTCTACTCTCCTTAATTGAAAGGCAGAGTTCTTACCATTATGTTTCAAAAAAAAAACTTCATATAAAGTGTTTAGGCATATGTGTAACCTTAATCATGTCATGTTACGGCTACCAATCAAACACACCCCGGGCTACCCTTTTGATAAAGTATTGCATTTGTGTAACAATGTAGTCATTGAATTGCAACTTGCATCTAGTGGTTGAAGCACTTGATTTGATGGGGTCGGTTTCACATTTTGCCGTCATGCCATGCAGCAGATGTTATTGTGTACGCAAATTGCTGATGTATGGAATGTATGGAGTTTCACCACAGTGGCAAATTTGTCACTAGTAAGGCCCCGTTTGGCAGGGCTTCACTTCTGCAGTGAAGCCATTTTTTTTTTGCTTCAGCTCCACAAACGGCTCTTGCAGTGGAGCCGGAGCCATTTTAATATCACATTTGGCAAAACGGCTTCACTTGTCTATCATGCATGGTTAATTGTCAAATCTACCCTTGTATAGATACATGTAGTAACATGTGCAGGTGTACGTATCTTCATTTGGTTTCATCCGAGTAAATTTGCATTTTAAAATTGTAATTTAAAGTTTACAAATTATAGTCAGAATTCAAAATTACAATTAATAAAAAATTGAAACCATACAGAATTAGCAAGCAACGCATTATTTTTTGGAGTACTGTTCCGTTCAAACAATAATCATGCTCGTGCAAGGTGATGATATAATACAAAAATCATATATCCTGATATAATGCAAACATATATAATCATGATGATCTAGAAAGAAAAATTGCTCGAGCAAGGTCATCACGAAATTTATCCATATTCCGATCACTAGATTTAGTAGTTGATGTATCACTGGTGTGCGAACCAAAATGCTTTCTATACCTCCGAGGTATAGTGGGCACATAATCCGGATTCCGATCGCATTTGCTAAAATCTTTATCCTCCGAATTGTTCTCACGGATGAAATTATGTAGACACATGGTTGCGGCGACAATCATCTTCTGCTTCTCCATCGGGTAACTCGGCATATTAAGAAGGATCCTCCACTTCATCTTCCACACACCAAATGAGCGCTCGACCACGTTTCGAATACTTGAATGCAAATGGTTAAACCACTCTTGTTCACCGCTTGGAGCAGGACCCCTCCGCCAATCCGGCACATGGTACCTCTCACCCTTATATGGTGCCAAGTACCCTGGTCTATTTGGATATCCGGCATCAACATGATAATACTTTCCTGCATACAATTGAGCAAAAGTGAATTGCACGAATGTACTATACAATTAAACTTTTAAAAATCTAACATGTTGCCTGTACATACCTAGAGGGGGGTGCGGGAATTTGTCGTGGTCATGCCTAAGTGCATGAAAGAGAACACTCGTGTCATGCATAGATCCGGGTTGTCCAATAGATGCATATGTGAAGCGCATGTCAAAATCAACAATAGCTAGAACATTTTGCGTCGGTTTGCGACTTCGACCAATAAATCTAATGAGGTCATTTGGAGGCGGTGTAGCTGAGATATGAGTACCATCTAGAGCTCCAATGCAATCTTCAAAATGAGGTAGATGCTGCAGCCTGTTTGCCGGAGGGAGGTGGTCCAGCCGCGCCGGACCACGGGCCGCCTCGGACGGGCGCGCGAGGCCATGGTCCGCCGCCGGACTCGACAGGCTAGATATTGCGCCGCCGACCAGTAGCTATCATCTGGGGGCTCCTCCACCGGTGTGTGCTTGGATATTGCATATGCCTCCATTGGGTGGTATTTCAAATATTTCATCGCCTTTCAAATGTATGTTGCATTTAGCCGCCCATCAAGACCGGCACCCCGGCGAGAAGACCGGACAAGCCACCGTGCGCGCTCGGATACAAACCAAGGAAAGGATCTTCTTCGCCTCCCGATCTATCCGATTCCTTACCATCGCCGCCTTCGTTGTCGCCGGCCGGAGGAGGAACCATGGCGGCGCGTCTTCTGCTCCGCGTATGGGAGGGAACGGAAACAGAAAAGTAGCGATACAATGGGGTGGGTGCAGCGGTGGTTTCAGTGGCAATTAACATAATTTGTTCCAAGTCCTGGGGGTACCAGCGCATGGAGGTGGACAAGGAGCCGGGAGAAGCCACTATTTTGGGCCTTATCACCCAAAAGCTATGTGACAAAGCAGAGCGTTTTTTAGGAGAAAGTCGGTGGAGCCGTTTCATTTTACCCTGTTTGGCAGAAAACGGCTCCAAACGGCTCCTAAAGCCGCTGGAGAAGCCCTGCCAAACGGGGCCTAAATATTCGGGCTGCTCCATTTGTCTTCAAAAGAATACAATTTTAGTACAACACTGAGTTAAATAGTTTTAAGTTTGATTAAGTTTATAAAAGGATATCAAATAGATTTCATTGAATTCATCAAGAGATATATTTGATAATATTTGAACGGACTTAGTACAAAGCTGTCGACTAAACATGTCACTAGTGAGGCATTCATCATCCATTACTCGGAAAATGACATTGCAGGTTGCAGCTATCAGAGGCCGCGGGGACACAGATCCAACCACAATTGCCGGCAAAGCAGTAAAACACTGTCCACCGCGCAACTCGACCTTTAATGGGAGGTATGCCGGCGCGACCCCACAAATTTGCGGATCCATCGATTCTAGATCAGCAATCAATCCGACACGTCCCATGAGATCCTTTTTCAGAAAAATAAATAAATTCCCACCTCTCTCCCTATTAAACAGTGCCCTGTGCACACCCTTTATTTTCTTTTCGCGTGCTGTGCCACATGTGCGCCGGTTCTCTGGCCCAGCTAATCAGCAACCCCATTAGCCAAGTAACTTTCCTTTTTGGAAATAAATATTTTCACAACTTTCCTTTTTTTTAAGTTACAAAATTATACTCGTAACTTTTACGTATAACTTTTTGGGTAAAATTTATCACCATCTTTTCTTAGAAAGTTGCAAAGTTATCATCATAACTTGTCATCATTTTTTTGACTTTTCTTTTTTGGAAACAAAATCTCATAACCTTTTATTTTGAGAAAATTACAAAGTTATACTCTACATAACTTTTTATGTGACAAATTATCGACACAACTTCTCATTATAACTTTTGTAGATTTGTAATCGTAAGATTCAATTAGATCTGAAGAAGAGAAAAGGTGAAAGAA